ATAAAAATATTTATAATAATAAATATATAAACATACATAAATTTAAAATACTATATTAATAAAAACTTAAAATTATATTATACTATAAATATAACAAAATTATAATTCTATATATAATAATAAATAAAAAAATTATAAATAAAAATATATCTAAAATTATTATATATAAAGTAAAAATTATAATAAACTTATTTAATTATCTTAAATACAATATTATGTTTTAATAACAATAACTATAAATTAAAAAAGTATACATCAAAATAATATATAATTATATAAAATATAAAAAATAATATAATATAAACTCTAATATATAAATTAACTAAAATAATTTAATTAAATATTTACTTAATACATATACTCATAATATAAAAATAAAATAATAATATAGAATAATGTCTTAAGTAATAATCATATATAATTAGGAGGATTACTATACATAAAAAGCGAAGAAACAAAACATTTAATTATTAATTATATATATATATATAATATATATATACAAATTAAAAATAATTTAATAATAATAAACACATAAATAATATATATTACACCAATAACAATCAATAATTATATTATAAAACACCACTATATAATACCTATAAATTAATAAAAAATTAATATAAATAATATATCAATAAAAAATAATAATATATAATATTATAATATAAATAAATAATAAAATAACTAAAATTTATAACTAAATAATCATATATAATATATTAATAATTTTAAAATATATAAAATAATATAATTTATAAAAATAATATTAAATTAAATAAAATATATAAAATACTAAAAACAAAATATACTTAACATACAATTAAAATAATAAATAAATATTTATATATAAATATTTTATAATAAATATATATTATAATAATAATTAATTAAATATAATAATAAAATAACAATAAAATATATATATATTGATAATATATATATATTATAATTATAAATATATTATATAATATATAATATAAAATAAATATTATATAAGATAATAATAAATTAATAATATATATAATATAAAAAATATTATATAATATATTAATATATATTAAATAAAAATAATAATAAAATACAAAATATAAAACATAAATAAAATAATATAATATTATATAAATAAAAATTATAATAATATATATATTAAAAAATAAAAAATATATAATATATAATATATAATTAATAAATTATATAAAAAATAAAGTATTATAATATTATTATTATATATAATATAAATATTATAAATAAATAAATTTTAAATAAATAAAAAATAAATAATAATATTATATAATAAATATATACTAATTTAACATAATAATAATATATATTACATATATATTATTACTATAAAAAATAATTATATATTAATATAATTATAATATAACTATATACATTAAATATAATAATAATTTATTATTATATATCATAAATTATATATAAGTATATAATATATAATTAATATATACATTATTAAAATATATAAACTAAAAGTTATATTTATATAATTAATATTCTAATATATCAAGAATTTAATAATAAATAATAAATATATATTATAATTATTAATTAAATATTCCTATATTTATATTATACTTATATAATATCAACAATTAATTATATAAAATATATTTATAATAATGATTAAGTAGTATAATATATTATTATAGTATATATTATATTATACTAAATAATTAATTTAAAATAAAAACCATATTCATATCTAAATATATATAAAAAATTATTAACATATATTAATATAAAATAAATAAATAAAAACAAACATTCTGCAGGTTTTTAATTATTGTTTATTATTATATTATTATTATTTGTTGAAACAGGCAGCTCGGTGCCCCCATCTAGGGCCGCAACGAGCCGTCAAATTTTGGGCCACTCCAGCGCGAATGACGGCCGCTCTTACGGCTGAAAGCAGTAGCCAATTGGACTTGGGCCGCTTATGCGCCCAAACCTCTTTGCTCAGCAATTTTTTATTTATATTTTTTATTTTTAAGTTGGCCACACGTCAGTCGCCGCCCAATTGGCAGCACCAGCGTTGAATTTAGGCCGCTCTTGCGGTGATAAAGTGGGCTACTCTGTGGCGTGAAAGCAGAACCTTATTGGGTTGGGCCGTTCGTGCGGCCAAGCATCCGCTCATGCACCCAAGCTTTGAAGGGCTTCGCTCGTGTGCCATATGGGCGCACGTGCGATCTGGGCAAATATATATATATATATATATTTTAAAACCAAGTACAACAATTTTTTTTATTATTATAAAAAGTATATATTTTTTTAGAGGTTAAAGAAAAGAAATTAAAAACCAAGTACAATTCAAAACATGCTAAACCATTTCTACCTTCATTTGACATCCGAAAAAAAATATAGCACTTTGGAAAATATCAGAATGCCTAACAAGGGTATAATTTTCACGCGAAAACCACGGGTACTACTTTTCTCCCTAACAGTGTGTGTAACTTTGCCTATTCTCCAACAGGGTGACAGACTAGGTTGATTCGGTATCCAAAATCGAGGTGCATAAAGCTAACTCGACCTATGGGGCTGCCATATAGAGTTCAAGCCGGGGTGGTTTTGAAGCAATCTCCACACCTGGGTATTTAAACCAGACTTTAGTCTCGGAAATTTCAAATCTTTGCGTTCTAGGCTTTGCCATTGGAACTCTAGTTTCTACCATCTAAGTTGGTATCCTAGGAACTCATTACAAACACAGTAAGGTGGCTATACCAGACCGTTAGATGCCATTTAGACATGACAAACACCAAAGGAATTACACCTTTACATGAATTAAAGTCTCCTAGACTCAAAGTAATCACTATGGAAGATATATTGGGTCCGTCAAATGGACAACCTCAATCATCTCCCCTTTTTCAATACCATCCACATAGTGTTTCAATCTTTGGTCATTGACCTTGAAGGTCGTACCATCTTGTGGAAAGACTTCTATAACCTCATATGGGCCATCCCATCGAGACTGGAGTTTACCCAGGAACAACCGCAATTTGGCATTGAACAACCACACTTTTTGGCAAGGCTCAAAGGACTTACCAGAAATGTGTTTATCATGAAATGCCTTAGTCCTAGCCTTGTAAATTTTGGAGCTCTCATATGCATCGTTGCGGAGCTCCTCTAAGTCATTAAGTTGGAGTTTCCGGTGGTCACCAGCTTTGGCCATATCAAAATTAAACTTCCTAATGGCCCACAAAGCCCGATGTTCTAACTCAACAGGGAGATGGCACGATTTTCCAAACACAATCCTATATGAAGACATCCCGATGGGTGTCTTATATGTAGTGCGATAGGCCCAAAGTGCATTTACCAACGTAGTGGACCAATATTTCCTATTGGGCCTCACAGTTTTCTTGAGGATGTGTTTAACCTCCCTATTAGAAACCTCTACTTGACCACTAGTCTGGGGATGGTAGGGAGTGCCAATTTTGTGAGTGATAATATATTTGCGCACCAATGCCTCAAAGAATAGGTTGCAAAAATGTTTGCCATCGTCACTAATTATGGCACGCGGGAACACAAAACGGCAAAAAATGGTCTCATGGAGGAATTTAACCACAACCTTGTGGTTATTTGTTTTGGTTGCCACTTCCTTCACCCACTTGGAGATATAGTCCATAGCCACCAATATATATTCAAAGTCAAATGATGGTGGGAAGGAACCCATAAAGTCAATGTCCCAAACATGAAAAATCTCAACAATTAAAATTGGGGTCATCGACATCATATCTCGCCGTGACATAGAGCCCACGCATTGGCAACGCTCGCAAGCTCTACAGAAGTTATGGGCATCTTTGAAGATAGAAGGCCAATAGAACCCACATTGTAAAACCTTGGCGGCCGTTTTTTGCCCACTGAAATGGCTGCCACATGAGAGTGACAAAAGGTGAGAATGCTATGGGTTTCGCTCTCAGGCACACAACGCCGAATCACTTAATCCAAACAATACTTAAACAATTTTGGGTCTTCCCAGAAATAATGCTTGGCTTGTGAAAAAAATCGCTCTTTGTCTTGCTTAGACCAAGTTTTTTGAATTTGACCAAGTGCCAAGTAATTCACTATATGAGCAAACCACGTAAGGGTCATGTGTGAAACCGCAAAAAGTTGCTTGTCTGGAAACGAGTCGTGCAAGGCTAAGGGATCACTCATGTGCTCAAAAAAGAAGTTGGATAGATGATCCGCAACTACATTCTTGGATCCCTTCTTGTCTCGGATTTTTAGGTCGAACTCCTGAAGGAGTAAAATCCACCTAATCAATCCAGGTTTGGTCTCTTTCGTTGATAGTAAGTATCGCAAAACGGCATGGTCAGTGAACACAATGACTTTAGACATTAGGAGGTAGGACTGGAACTTATCAAGTGCAAAGACAACAACTAGTAACTCTTTCTCAGTGGTAGTGTAGTTTAATTGAGTATCAGAAAGAGTACAACTAGCATAAGATATGACATGGGGCACTTTATTCACCCTTTGACCCAAGACGGCGCCGATGGCATAATCAGATGCATCGCACATGATTTTGAAAGGAACGGACCACTCAGGAGATTGCATGATAGGGGCAGCAGAAAGGGCCACTCGCAATGTTTCAAAGGCTCTAAGACAAGCCTCATCAAAGTCAAAAGGTGCTTAGCAACTAAACTACACAAAGGACGGGATATTTTATTAAAATCTTTGATGAATTGACGGTAAAAATCTGCGTGCCCTAGGAAAGACCTAACTTGATTCACATAGTTGGGTGGAGGAAGGCCTGCGATGAGGTCAACCTTAGCTTTGTCAATTTCTATACCTTGAGGGGACACAATAGGTCCCAATATTATCCCCTCGCGGACCATAAAATGGCTCTTCTCCCAACTCAAAATCAAATTTGTCTCCACACAACGAATAAGGACTTTAGTTAAGTTTTGGAGACATTCCTCAAAAGACAGCCCAAATATGGAGAAGTCATCCATGAAGACCTCTAAAAATTTCTCTACCATGTTAGTGAAAATAGTCATCATACACCGTCGAAAAGTTGCTGGTGCATTACATAGCCCAAAAGGCATGCGCCTATAAGCAAAAGTGCCAAAAGGGCAAGTGAATGTGGTCTTTTCCTGGTCAGCAGGGTACACCGGGACTTGATTATATCCCGAGTAGCCATCAAGAAAACAATAAAAAACCTGTCCCGCTAACCTCTCAAGAATTTGATCAATAAATGGCAGAGGAAAATGGTCCTTCCTAGTCATGGAATTCAATCTCCTATAATCAATGCACACTCGCCACCCAGTAGTGGTTCGTGTGGGGACCAACTCTCCTCGCTTATTCTCAACAATAGTGATGCCCGATTTCTTGGGCACCACTTGTGTGGGACTCACCCACTTGCTATTCGAGATGGGGTATATAATACCTGCATCTAACAGTTTCAATACCTTCTTTTTCACCACCTTTTTCATATTAGGATTAAGCCTCCGTTACATTTCACGAGAAGGTTTGGTGTCCTCCTCTAGATATATATAATGTATGCACACAGAGGGATCTATCCTTCTCAAATCAGCCACCGACCACCCTATAGCACTCCGATGTGCCACGAGAATACTCATTAACTGACTCTCTTGCTCTGCAGTCAAGTCAGATGCAATGATTACTGGTAAAGTATCACGGGGCCCTAAAAATGCATACTTGAGTGTGGCCGGGAGTGGCTTCAACTCAAGTGTAGGTGGTGTGATCAAAGATAGTATGTCGGGCTCTCTAGACAGAGAAGAGAGTGACTCAAACCGGGCTTTCCACGGAGGAAAATCCGGTGTAGAAGAAGCATTAAGCAAGGCATTAACCTCCTCAACCGACCCGTCGATATCAAAATTTTCAAACCCAAAATGAGCTAGACAAGCCTCTAGAGGGTCCTCTATAAAAATGGAGGGTAAAGCTTGCTCCACAATCCCATCTATAGCATCCACAAATAAGCACTCCTCTCTCTTATGGGGTTGTTAGGATGCTTGGAAAACATTAAGTTTCACTTTCATATTCCCAAATGAAACTTCCATAACCCCTGTACGACAATTTATGCATGTATTGGCCGTGGCCAAAAAAGGTCGACCTAAGATCACTGGGATTTGTTTCCTAGAACTGGCTACCAGTTCCATATCTAAAACCAAAAAGTCAATAGGAAAGTAAAACCTATCGACCTTTACTAGCACATCCTCAATCATGCCAAGTGGCACTTTGAGGGACCAGTCAGCTAACTAGAGAGTATCGGTAGTGGGCTTCAACTCGCTAAACCCAAATTCTTCGTACATAGAGTACGGAAAAAAATTGACACTAGCCCCTAAATCTAACAAGGCCTTATTAATGAAATTGTCCCCTATAATGCATGCAATGGTTAGGGCACCCAGGTCTTAAGGCTTAGGGGGTGTGTCATTCAACAAGATGGAGCTTACTTGCTCTGTGAGTATGACCTTTTGGGACACGTGTGTCCTAGATTTACGCTTTTGCGTACAGAGGTCCTTAAAAAATTTAGCATAGGAGGGTACTTGCTTAATCACCTCCAACAGGGGGAGGTTGATTTTCACTTGTTTAAAAACCTCCATCATCGATTTCATGGATGTCGCCTTCTTATTAAAAGGGGACGGTGTATCAAGGCATTGGGGAAAGGGTGCCTTAGGCACATGTGAAGTGTTAGGGACTAAGTCATCCCTCTTAGGTGTTTCTCCCTCACCCTTGCTCTCATTGGGTGTACCATCGTGGTCACCTTTCTTAGCCTTAGTTGCATTAGACGCAATTGGCTAAGGCTTTAACTCTCTCACACTTCTCAAAGTAATCATCGCTTGCACCTGCTCATGGTGCTTTCCATTCCCACCCGAACTCTCTGCCCTGTATTGTCCCTTAGGGTTAGCCACAGTCTGACTCGATAATTTTTCGTTCTCTCTCCTATTCATGTTGTTAACTATTTGACCTAATTGGGCCTCTATCTTGGCAATAGAGTGAGTATGAGAGTGAACTACTGATGCTAACCTCTTAAGTTCTAAGAGAACTTCTAACACCTGAGTCTCAAAGACTGAGTTGCCTTGAGAAATAGGCGGGGGTTGTGGTTGTCGGTAAAGTTGTAGGGGTCGATAAGGTTGTGGTGGCCGGTAGGAAGATTGGTTGGCAAAATTATTAAAATTCTGCCTTGATGGTGGAGGGTTGTAAGAAGTGCCTTGTGAAGGAGGTCTTCATGAAAAATTAGAACGATTTCTCCATCCCGGATTGTTTGTGTTGGAGTATGGGTCATTACCCGAGTTGGAGAATCCTTGAGCCGCATTCACATGCTCTTGCACTAATTCCGGAAATTGTGATGCCAAAGGGCACTCACTTAAGTCATGAGTAGGGCTCGCACAACTAACACATGCCTCGTGAAATTGAGGCTAATCTTGTTGTGTAGGGGCATGTCCCGTAGCTAATAATTGGTCTATTTTGTGGGACAATGCCTCTACTTGTTAGGCTAACTCTAGGTTTTGCCCGACCTCATAAATGCTCCCTCTTTTTGGGGCTCCAACGATTGGTTGCCGGAATTGTTGGGTAGCGGAGGCATGGTGATGGGAATTATCACTTAGGTTCTCAAACAATTGCCATGCCTCGGCATCATTTTTGGACATAAATGTCCCACCACAAGAAGAATCCACCATTTTGGCGGTGAGGCTCAGTTAAGCCATAGTAAAAGGTCTGCACAAGTTGCCAATCAGGCACTTGGTGGTGGGGACACTGTTGGAGAAGGTCACGAAGTCTGTCCCATATCTCATGAAATTGTTCGCTGTCAATTTGAGCAAAATTGGTGATGGCTTGCCTAAGTTGGTTGGTTTTACCAATGTGAAAGTACTTCTCTAAGAACTACTGTTGTAATTGGTCCCAAGTTGTGATTGAATTAGCAGGTAGGGAGTTCAGCCAATGTTTGGCTTTGTCCTTTAATGAAAATAGGAACAATCACAACATTAAGGCCTCATTTGTGAAATTCTGGGTCCTCACTGTAGAGCAAATTTTCAGAAACTTATTCAAATGTTTATAAGGATCATCATGAGCTAGTCCATGGAATGATGGGAGCATTTGTATGGTGCTGGACTTAATCTCATAATGAGCAACAGTGGTGTCGAGTAATTGGATGCATGATGGTGATGTCTATGCAGTGGGTGTGAAATAATCCTTAAGGCTCCGGTTGGGCCCGTTCAGGACATTTGGATTTTCTATCCCTAATGGTTCAAAGTATGGATATGAATATTCAAGCCTAGGAACACAGGCAGAGGCTCTGAGTCTCCTAAGAGTCCTTTCTAGTTTAAGGTCCAAACTCCACAATTCTGGGCGACAAGAACTGTGCATGCACTACTCATACACACACACTAAGTTCCGACTCTGTGCACTCAGTATGAAAGCAAAATACCAAAGGGAGAAATACTCACAGCGATTTAACGAAAACGCTTCACTCGTCTTGCAGGTGCTTAACGCGTAGACGTTGTCTCTAACCTCCAATTGAGCTTTGTCTTTCTTCTTAGCACTTTGGTGCTTTGCTTGCGAGTATTTGCTTATATTTTTTTTAGCACTTTGGTGCTACGGTATTTTTGTTTAAAAACTTGGTTGCACTTCGCTTGCACTCCAGTGATTGTTCCAATTGCAAATACTCTGCACACTTAGCAACACGAAAGCATAAAATCCTAAACTAAAAATTAAAATAAGAATGTAACTTTAAATTAATTAACTTCGCCAGAAGTCCCTGGCAACGGCGCC